GAATTATACTTTCAGACTAAAAAATAAACAAAAGGCACCCTGTATGGAATTTTAATGTAGGAATTAATTCTGTAATAAGAGTCATGAAAAAAAGAAAGAAAGTCAATCTTTTATGTTGTTTTTATAAATTCAAGATAGAAAACATATTTTTATAATTCATTCAATGAACACATATTCTTCATTTCATACCCAGAATTTATTGTCTTAAACAAATTCTCCTGAATTCTACATAAGACAGTACAAGTTCTTCAAGTCTTTAAATGCAAACAAATTTTTGTCACATCCAATTTTTTGCCTTGTATGTCTTCATATGAAAAAATATGACATTCAAGTCATACAAATGCTAGTCACGTTACAACCATGGTCTTTGAAATAACAATTAAATATTAAGTATTGTCTCGTGACTGTTAAGGCTTCACTTCTAATACAATTCACTTTATTCAAAGATAAGTCTTGACCACTGTGATTCATCTTCAAACAAAATAGCTTGTTCTGAACTTATCTTAACATACTGAAAAGTAAAAACGACATTTATAATCTAAAGTATGGTGCTTGTTGGAGTTTAATCAGCCTTAAATCAAACAAATTGCAAAATAAAAATCTTAATGTCTGATAAATGCAAAAGGGGAACAAGGGGAGGTAACATAGGGTAAACATGGTGGCCTTCGGCTGTTGTCTGCTCTATGGTCGGGTTGTTGTCTCTTTGACACATTCCCCATTTCCATTCTCAATTTTATGTACAAAGGAAATAGACAAAATGAAAAATATTTCATAAAAAAATTACACAATGCAATAGATATCTTTTGCCTCAAATTTCAATGAGGAGGAGGAAAGGTTGATTTCCCTGTACCTATGTATGGCTGTTTTTATATTATTCAATTTCAAGATATCATATAAAGTTAAATATATATCTAGTAATCTTAATGAGATATATTATCTTATTCAACTTGAAGGTTATAAATTACTTATACGCTTTATAAGATATCTTGTTAACTTTAAACAAATACTTTGCGATAGCTCATATATTGTATGAGATATTGTGTCTACTTTATGAGATATCTTGTAATTAGTTCAGAAGATATCTTTAAAAGTATATAAGATATATAATTTACTTTATAATATATCTGTATGATTTCAAGTACAAAATATCTCAATTAGTTTATATATATCTTATCTAATATATAAGACATCTTGAATACATGAAAGTATTTCATCAAGTTAGGATATATTTTTTAACTTCAAATTAAATAAGATAAACACCACCACATATCTGATTTACTTTGCAAGATATAATATTATTCAATTTATAAGATATAGTTTAGAGTTTTCAAGATATCTTATTCAGTTTATAAGATATATTTTATTTAGTTTGTAGAATCATAATCTTTAAAACAAAAGAATATATAAGTTATCAGTTAAGGTAAACATGATATCTTTTTTACTCAATACCTAAAATAGATATTTGATAAACTAAATAAGATATCTCATTTAATATATAAGATATCCTATCTATTTTATAAGATATCTCAATTAGTTTATACAACATATTATTATAGTTTTATAAGATATTTTTTAAACTTTATTATAAGATATCTTGAAATTTGAATAAATATCGCATTGGTTGTTGTCTATAATATTTGGTTTTTTTTTGTTTTTGTTTTGAACATAGTTTGCAATGATACCACATCTTCTTACTTCTTATATTGATAAATATATATCAGAGGACTATCTATTCGTTTATATAAACATTAAAAAGCACTACATTTATGAAAAAGATTTATCATTTTTTTTTTAAATAAATTACAGTTAATATCATGGAAAGGAACATTGCTGGTGGAAATTTCGACTCACTAGTTATGTAATTTTGTACTAAGAAGTAGTTAGCAAATTTGTTGCAGTTTTTATTTACAGGAGCATCTGACACTATATCGTATGATAAACTGTCCTCAACTTCCTCTGCTGGAAGAAATCAAGGCAATCCAAAAATCTGTGTTAACTATTTTCCTATTTCAGTTGACTAATATTTGTCCTCATTAGCTAAGCCTAAATTTGGTATTTTTCGAAACACTGAGATTTCTTTAGTTAAAATCAAATACATTGTTACATACACGAGCAAATCGAACAAGTTGGGATATATAAACACCATAAGATGGTGCCAATGGAACGTCACTATCTAAAAATGGACAATTAACAATAGGAAACTTAAAATCATCTCTCTTTTGTCCTAAGCTTCCCGTTAAAGATATAGATATCAAGATCCAGGAAAGTACAGTGTTCATTGTTATTATTAGCTTTATTTAAAGTCAGTTCAGCAGGATTTAGTGTACCTAATGAAATCGTCATTTTTGAAAGCCAATATATCATCCAAATATTTTTATATCAGATATTGTTTGGATTGGTCTTTGCTGATTTTAGTCATAAACTGTAACTTGTAACAATACAGAAAAGGGTCCGCAATCAGAGGTGCACAGTTAGTCCCCATAGGAATTCCGATAACCTGACAATATATGGAATCTCCATTGTAAATTTGTTTCATTTCCAAAATTACAATTTGTTTTTAAAAAGTCAAGGATTAATTTTTCATATTTTTTTTTTAATTAATCTGCACAAATGTAGTAATTTTGCAACAGGTAAATTTTGCGCAAACGTGGATTTTTTTCTTGCCCAAATGTAGGACGAATTCGTGCAAACGTAACGCACTGATAACATATTGACTGAGTGAAGTCCTTGATCTATATATTACATATGTAGATAAAGTAAGTTTGAAAATGATATTAACCATGTTACTATTTTTAGTAACATGGAGTCAATATCATTTCTAAACCATATGTAATATAATCTTATGTCTTTATATATTAAACAAAATGTCTTTCAGGGCATAATTAATTTAATTGTTGTTAAAGACAATTTTGTAAAATATTGGAAATTTTATTGGAAATTTTACAAGTTATATTTTTAGTGGAATTTTTAAATGAAGGACATCTTTAACCAAATGTATTTATTTGAATCTACAAAAAACTTGTTCACAGTAATGATTATTTCCAACATAATCTTTTGTAAAGAATGTCAGTTTTAAAAATATTTGAGATAAAAACTATAATTTGACAAAATAGTAATGTTTTGAGCCCAGTGAGTGAGTGTGTCTCACCCATTATTGCTTCTGTCAGTGTAAAAGTGTAACGTTGACTAAAAAAGTGAGTCCATTTATCAGTAAAATACAGAATTTTATAAAAAATTAAACTTTTTCTTAAGAAGCAATTCATGGTCTTGAATATAAGCTTCTGTTCAAGATTCATAAATATCCATGAACGTTTACAAATTTATCATGTCAAAAAAGTTTAATCCCAGATGGTCTGTAAATTTAACTAAAAAATTTGTAAGGGTTCCGCGGAACCCAGTGTCTCGCCTACTTTTGCTGTTAGTCGCAGGCTCAACAAAAATGGGGAAAAAATTATTAAAAATTTTCCTATAGATTCTATCTTTTGATTGTAAGAAGCTTCTGTCCAAGTTTGATAAAAATCCAGGATGGTTTATGGATCTAATAAATGTTTTAAAAACTTTAACTGCAGACTGTATGTAATGTTAACTGGAAGAAAAACTAAGTCCAGTTATAAGTAATATATGGAAAAACAGGAAATAAATTTTTACAAAATTTCCTTCTAAATACTAGCTTTTGATCATAAACATTAGCTTCTATTCAAGCTTGGTACAAATCCAGGATAGTTTAAGAAAGTTATTAAAATTTTTAAAACTTGAACCAGAGTGAATTTAATGTAAACTGGCAGAAAAACTAAGTCCATTTATAAGTAAAATACGGATAAACAGGATTTTTTTTTACAAAATTTACTTATGGATACTATCTTATGATCATAAACAAGCTTCTGTCCAAGTTTGGTACAAATCCAGGATAGTTTAAGAAAGTTATTAAAATTTCAAAAACTTTAACCACAGAGTGAATGTAATGTTAACTGGCAGAAAAACTAAGTCCAATTATAAGTAAAATACGGATAAACAGGATTTTTTTTTTTACAAAATTTACTTCTGGATACTATCTTATGATAATAAACAAGCTTCTGTCCAAGTTTGGTAGAAATCCAGAATAGTTTAAGAAAGTTATTAAAATTTCAAAAACTTTAACCACAGAGTGAATATTTGTAGGATCGCTTAATGTCTCACTTTTGCGACAAAAGTCGCAGGCTCGACAAAAATGAAGTCCATAAATCAGAAAAATACTGAAATGAACAAAATATATTTTCAAAACTTTGCTTCAGACATTATGTCTTAATCATTAAAACATTAAAAAGCTTCTGCCAAAGTTTCATAAAATTCTATGAAGGTTTGATAAAGTAATTGGTGTGTAACAAACTTTAACCCCATACTGTATTTTTTTGTTAAATGTAAAAAAAACTGAGTCCATTTACCATTTGAATATGGCAAAATGAAAATAAATATCAAAATTTTGCTCTGAATACTGTATTTTGGTCACAACTAAGCTTTTGTCCAATTTCCTAAAATTCCACGAAAGTTTGAAAAAGTTAGTGAAGACTGAAAAACTTTAACCTCATATTAAATCTGAAGGTTACTGTAAAAAAAAGGTCCATTAATCAGTAAAATATGGAAAAATGAAAATAAATATTTTTTAAATTTTGCACTGGATACTGTATTTTGGTCATAAACAAGCTTCTGTCTAAATTTCCTAAAATTCCATGAAGGATTGACAAAGTTATTGATGCATAAAAAAATCTTTGACCATAAACTGAACCTAAATGTTGACACCACCTGGGGCATCTAAGCTACCAGTATGTCTCGCTTTCGCAACATAAATGTTGCAGGCTAGACAAAAATCCTTTTGAGTATTTTTGACAAAATTATTCAAGTTTCGAATCTTTATAATCAAAGACTGTACTAAAATATTGACTGCAATTAAGCTATGCCAATATTCATATAGTAAAATAAATTAAATGGAGTGGGGTCAAAATATTGACCCTAGATACTGAATGATCTTTATTCTCATAAACCAAATACATAGTTACAGAGAAGAAATATTACAATAATAACAAATATTGAATATAGCATGTGTGAAATACAGAATATTGTTAATTAATATTATAAATATATATTTGGACAAAAGATAAATTAATATACAATAGTTGTTTTAACCAGGAGGATAGACTTTCACAGAAATACATTTAATAAATCTACAGAGTTTCTCAAGATCAACACAGTTTCGATTTGAGTATACTTGTTAAAATTTTATAACATTTACATTAGATTTACAGTATTGCGGTAAATATTTGTTTCTATCGTCTTTGAAAAAATTACAAGACATAATATAATGGTATTCGTCACCGATGTCAACTGAGTCGCAAAGGTGACACACTCTATCAGATCTTGGTATGTTGTGCCACCTTCCCGTCTCAATTGGCAAACGGTGATTTCCACATCTAAATTTACATAAGGTTATTAATAAATTGAATGGTAGCACTGACAAATAGTGTTCAAATTTAAATACATTTTTATACAATCTATAACATAAACCCTTTGGCGAATTGTTCATTTCTGATGACCATTCTTGAGTGAACTGGTCTCTTAATCTTTGCTGAACACTTAATACAACCCAGCGTTTCTGAAATACATAATGACTTTGCCATACATTAGACATTCCACAGTCATTAAAAATGTTCTTTATATAAGATAACCATTTATTTTCATAACCATAATTATTGAGATTAAGATATAACAGATTATATAATAAACATGATATTTTGCGCTCTTTTCCTTCTTGTAAGCGACACCAGAAACTAATCATGCGTGACTTGACGGTAACTGAAATAGGGTATCTTCCCAGCTCACCATACACCATAAAATTTGGGGTTGAATTTTTTAGACGTAATATATGCTTGCAAAAACGCAAATGAACTCTCTCAAGAATATCTAAATTTTCGAATCCCCATATTTCGCACCCATATGTTAATATAGGAACAATAGCCTTATCAAACATATCTAGTTGGCACTCGATCGACAAATTATTAAGTCTGGATTTTTTTATTACAGCATACATTGCTTTAATCGCCTGGTCACGTAGATACTTTCTGGTGGAAAGAAATGAGCCACTTCTAGAAAATATGATACCAAGATATTTATAGCTACTGACTATCTCAATTTCATTTCCATCTATATTAAATATCAAGTTTCGAGGTATTCTACCTCTTGAAAATACAATAAGTTTCGTTTTATTGATTTTTAGTTTCCACTCTTAACAATACTCTGAAAATTTATCCAACATACATTGTAAGTCATGGCTAGATTCCGCAAGTAGTCTTGTATCATCTGCATACAATAATAGAAAAATTTTAAAATATACAAAAAGTTCGTTCTCAATATCAAGTGTAACAGACTGAATTCCATCAATATTAGAATTTTCTAAAAATTCTTGTAGATCATTTAGATATAGTGAAAAAAGCAGAGGAGAAAGATTTCCTCCTTGTCTAACGACTGTTTCACAGGCAAAGATATCAGAGACTTCTGAATTATGAACAATTCTAGATTTGACATCATCATACATGTTTTTAATAATTCTTAGAAATTTTCCGTTTACATGGTTCAATATCAGTTTAGAAAATAATGAATTTCGATGTATAAAATCAAAAGCTTTTTCAAAATCGACAAATACACAAAAGAGTTTTTTCTTTTTCACCCGTAGTAATTCAAATAAAGCATATAATGAAAAAATATGATCCGTTGTGGAATAACCTTGCCGGAAACCTGCTTGGTTTTCATTTAGGATATTATAATTTTCAATAAAATCACCAAGTCTATCGTTAAGAATAGACGTGAAAACTTTCCCTAGACAAGACAAAAGTGTAATAGGCCTATAATTTTTGGCGTCTAATTTGCTCCCCTTGTTTTTGAAAATAGGTATTACGTTTCCAATAAGCCAAGCCTCAGGCAAGATTCCCGTATCAAATACAATATTAAACAAATGTACATAAATATCAACCATACTAATAGGTATAATAGTACCAGGTGAAACATGGAATCAATAGATATTAATTAGTCCAAGGTAAAATATGGAAAATAAGCAAAGAAAAAATATAAACTGTAATCACAAAGATATGTCTGGCCTTTTTGTAATTTTGATAATGCAAATGTTGAAATTAAAATAGCAATACTTTAACATGACAGTTATGCAAATATTCAAAGTCAATGAACCGTGACTGAAGGTACATGGCTAAAAAATCTCCATGGAAATGAGATGTGCCAATGCTGAATACAACTGCATACCAAATACCATTGACTTATTATAAGTCGAGCCCTTTAAACAAACCTAAACACAAACATTAACTTGTAAACTATGTAAATGTTTCGAAGTCAATGAACCATGATGAGGGGTGGGGCTATATAATCTCCATGGAAACGATACTTGCAAATGCCAATAAATTTGCATACCAAATATCATTGACTTAACATTAGCAGTTCATCTTAATTAAACGGATCTAATCACAAACTAATACATGCCGTAAACTAAGCAAAAGTTTCAAAGTCAATAGACCATGACTGAGGGGCGTGGCCAAATATTCTCAATGGAAATGAGATGTGCTAATGCTTATACAACTGAAAACCAATTAACATTGGCCTACCAATAATGGTTCCCCTTGAACTGACCTAATCACAAACTAATACATGTAAACTCAGCAAAATTTTCGAAGTCAATAGACCATGACTAATGGGGCGGAGCCAAATATTCTCGATGGAAATGAGATGTGCTAATGCTTATACAACTGCATACCAATTATCATTGACCTACCACTAACGGTTCCCCTTAAACTGACCTAATCACAAACTAATACATGAAAACTAAGCAAAAGTTTCAAAGTCAATAGACCATGAATGAGGGGGCGAGGCCAAATAATCTCCATGGAATGAGATATGCCAATGCTTATACAACTGCATACCAAATATCATTCACTAGTGGTTCCCCATAAACTGACCACAAACTTATACATGTAAACTAAGCAAAGTTTCAAAGTCAATAGACCTTGACTGAGGGGGCGGGGCCAAATAATCTCCATGATAATGAGATGTGCCAATGCTAATACAACTGCATACCAAATATCATTGACCTACCACAAGTGGTTCACCATGAACTAGACTTAATCACAAACTAATACATTGTTGACGCCGCCGCCGCCGACGCCGGAAACCGGCAGCATACCTATGTCTCGCTTTTTGACTCCGTCAAGGCGAGACAAAAATTACTCCTGAAATTAAAATGGTGATTCTTTAACATGTAAAATATTTTGCCCATTGCTAGCCTTGGGCTTTTTTCTGCTCTTTGGTCTGGTTGTGGTCTCTTTGACACATTCCCCGTTTCCATTCTCAATTTTATTATAAAACCATTGTATATATATAGATTCTACCACTGTATCGAGTGTGGTACGATATTTATCCACTCGAGACAGTTAAATTTTCAAATTTAAAACGCGAGGCTCGCCGAGCGTTTTAAATATTTAAAATTTAACTGTCGAGAGTGGATAAATATCGTATTACACGAGATTTGGTGGTGGAATCTGTTTCTCTAATGATTTTCAAACAATATGCAGGCAAACTTATTCCTTCTTTTTGAATGATCTGCAAAAAGATGTGTTCTTTCTATGTGACGTCATGAGGCATGGTCGCCTTTTTTCATGCCGTCACAATAGAAAATTCAGAGGAAAGCAAGAAAATTCGACGTCATAATCGGATTTTAACCAATGAAGAACTGAGATCAAACGAACCACACGTTGATTAAATATTTGTTTATACAATGGGTGCAAAAAAGGATAACTTGACGAAGAATTAGATATATATATATATATATGTGTTCAGGACCATATGAGTATTTGGACCATACGCGTATGGTCATTACCATATTGGTATATACTCCTATGGTCCGACCATTCGCGTATGGTCCGGGTAATTAATACGATGAATGTTGAAAAGTTACTTTTACTGTAAATAAGTATGACCCTTCCAGGTGTCACTCACAAGCACTTTGGAAATTGAACCTTCTTCCTTTTTATTATTATTTTAGTGTATAAATCTGTTTGTAGTAAATTCAAATTTCACAAATATTTCAAATTATTTTTAGTGATTTATTGTGTTTTTGCTCCTATTAAAATATGATCTTACAATAACAGTAGATGATACTTGCTATCTCTCTATTTTCATTTGGTAAATAAGAAATAAAAGGGTGGCACATATTTCTTACTGTAACTGTGTGATTGTATAAATAGGAACAAAATTACAACATTTAAATGAAAATAAGTTGAAATTAGAAGAATTAAACAAACAAAAAAACGCATGAGGTTTAACTTACGGATGAGAAGGTAGACATCATACAGGCGCTTTAAATTGACTCTAGTGAAGACAGAATAACATATGCATCAAAATACAGACAATATGTCAATATCAAGGATTTCAATTAGTAATTTGTGCCGATTTTGGTTCGTAGAAAGAGCTGTGTGTTTCTGCGAAGGAAGTAAGAATTTATTTGAAAAATACTTATATGGTCAATACTCATATGGTCATCTCATGACCATCCACGTATGGTCCAAATACTCATATAGTCCGAAACATATATATATGTCTGACAACTTTGCAAACAATCCAAAGCTAATGAACCAAGACTATGACGCAGGCCTGGGTCAAATAATTTCTGCAGAGACAAGAAATGTCAATGATATTACAACTTAATACCAAATACTATTGACTTATTATAAGTGGTTCCCTTTAAACTGGACAAAACACAAATTTTAACATATAAGCAATAAAAACGTTTCAAAATCAATGATTTTTTTTAATGAACCATTATGAGTGAAGAGGACCATATAATCTGGTGGAAATGAGATGAGCAAATGCTAATAGGATTGCATACCAATATGTTTCAACAGAAAAAGTCTCATCTGATAAAAGATTTGGGGGAAATAACTTATGAATAATGTTTTAATTTTTATTTAATAGTCTCCTGTGTAACAACTCTTTATTTGAAGAATCCGAATGGAGACTGCAGATGGTTTGTTGCAAAGCAAATTATTTCATTGCCATCACCAACAAATCCTATTTTTTCAGCGATACTTCATCCCCTCTCTAACAATTTTTACAAAATTTGCAGAAGCTACTTTAGTGATCTATTATTTTTTTATATCATCTTGAATATGTATGAAATTGCCACAGTACAGTAAACAAGCAATGTCGGGGCAGCTGTATAGCTGACAATATGGTATGGGTTGCCCCCTTGGGCTCAATGTTGAAAGCTGTACAGTGTTACCTATAGTTGCTTAAAATCTTAATTCTTTTGACTCTTTTGGATAATTGTCTCATTTGTAATCATACCAAATCTCTTTAATTTAAGACGATTGATAAAAAAATAATCAACCAATCAAGTCTCCTACCTGTAAACTTTGCTTTAAGTCTTCTCTGATGTTAACCTCTCCTTTATACCAATTTCGAAATTCATGATTGCTTCTGCTTATGTCATACTTTGGTTATCATCTTCACATTTCCTTTCTAAGCATTTGACTTTTAAGATTCTTCATATGATTCAGTTGCTATTAATCATTTGCTGCAAAACACAAAAGCATGAATAAGGATTAACAAATAGACATGATTTTTGAAAATATATATATATATAACTAGGTAGTTTTGGCAGTATAATAACAAATAAACACCTCAGGTCAATAATTTTTATCAAATAAGACAAGATATATTCATTTAGTATAAAATCCATTTTGCTATTTCATAATAATAATACATGAGATAATATAATTAAACAATAAACAATACAAATATGTGGCATTTGCCAAAACATATTTAAAAAGAAACAAAAAATATATTCTCCGTTTTTTAAACGATCATGCATTACAAATACAAATAATCAGTACAAAGAAAGATAACTCTGTTCAATTACAATATCAAAAAACAGTATTCAAATATTTCCTACTGAAAAACTCATTTTCCATGTTTTGGACTTTTCCAAATTGTGTATAAAGAATGTAAACCATGGGAAACTCATCATAAATTATACACCTTAATATTTAAGGATGTATTCCTCTGACGTTTCAGTCTCGTTGAAATCTCGTTCTGGAATTATTTCAAAAACATGTGATACAAGTGGAAAATATCAATGAATTTAAAAAAATATTATAATCAAACTTAACTCTGTGAAAAAATTGTGTATTTACAATAAGTAGTTTTTGAGTAATAAAATTTTCAAATTTTATAACCAATCAAGCCAGTCTCATTAGCCAAAATGTTGAGAAAATGGGTGAGGGGTACAAGAAATGATTTTACCAGAAACATGTACATCCCATATCAATTTTTTCTTTTCAAATTTCTTAGATATGAATTTTTTCAATCATTTATAACAAAGAAGTTGAAATAATATGCTATGTGTTCTAAAAAAAGAGAAAAATCCCAAATTTACAAAATTGGCAGCATGGTGAATTTGACGAAAAAGCAACAAAATTTTATAAAACTTTCTTATATTAACACCTACCTATAGTTTTTTTAAGTTAAATTTATTCATCTTTAGTAAAAGTATGAAAAAAAGTTTAATTGTGAAACTGTGATTTTTTTCATGATAATAGCCCAAAAAAAGATAAAAATTGATGAAAAATGGGAAAATCATCAAAATTGGGTACTTTCAAATGGCCGTAGCAAAAAAAAAAAAGAAGTGCACCACCATATGATTTTTTCTTCACCAATTATTTTTTTACAGTCATATAAACCCGAAAATCAGGTTAAGAAAAAAGGTTTATTCTAGAAATTTTGGGCTCCTCAGAGGTGTACATCCTTAAGAATGTACTTAGGTCAAGTTTAGGAATTTTGTCAGATGTTCGCACTCCGATGTTTTTTCCTACGATAAAGCAAGGATTTGTATAGTAATACCAGAGACATACAATACAATTATATGTCTCTGGTAATACTATACAAATCCTTGGATAAAGGGTAAAATATTTTGCCCCATAACACGTACCCATTGTTCTTTTCATATAAGAATTCAATAGCTCATAAAAGGTCATTTACCACAAAATTTAAGCAGATTCGAGATTTCTTTTCTTTCGATTAATACCCAAATGGTACCAATGCAAATATAAGGTAAAGTCCGAGTCGGCCTTTTCCCGCCATTTCAAAAACTTAAATATTTCGAAAAGGAGTTCCATAATCTATCAATATGTTTTAGCTTATTTTATTCCTTAACTAATGCTCTTCTGACTTATAGTTTCAATTTTAAATTCTACATTTTTTTAATTTCACCTAAGTACATCCATAACATATTAAGTTGACTACCTGGCAAACATTCCACTGCTAGTCATTTTTCAGGCCATTCCATTAAAATTTATAACACCATTGTATTAGTACACAAAGCAAAGCATATAGCAACATAACACAATAAGCTTGCTAAAACATATATTACAGTCGAGCTTAAGACACATATTAAGCTCAAAAACACACATATAAACACATTACAAAACTTACCTTATATGAGGTACAATTAAAGGTCCGGAACTTATGGTACTACATCATGTAAAATATTGGAACAGTTAAATATCTGTAATTAAAACATAATCATAACTGTTGTTGTTATTTTATAGTTTGTGTATATACAAAATTATGCCTTAACATACAAATTATTATTTTTGATACCTGAAATTATTTTATCCATTTACTTTTACGTTAGTACTATTGCATTTTCACTAAAACTGACATATTTGTATAATTTGGCTTAAATACATACTTAAAAGGATTATTTTAATTTACTGTGTCGATTAGTTTATCTGATTTGACCAATATTTTATATACAATGTGTGGGTTTTAATCTTTCCTTAAACACTTTCCTTTAAACTGACCTTATTTGAAAACAATCAAAGATGTCCTCCAAATATGAATACAAATTAAATCAAGAAACAGCACAGCACCATTCAGTTCAAAATATAGGCAAATTCTAACCAAACAAAAGATTTCCCTCCAAAAAAGACATATGACTTAATTAACCAATTATGATAAAGAACACAGAGTTTTCATAACATAAACTAGTAAAACCTAGAGAGTAAACAAATACCAAATCTATCAAAACTCACTGAGCCATGTAGATGACTTTCAATAGTTATAACCACTGATGCATGACTAGAAACTACTAAAAAGTACTTAGAATTAAATTTACTCATCAGATATGTATATGTAAGAGAATGATAATCCCTTTCTTTATGATTAAGTACGAGCGTTAGCGAGTACTTATCATGAAGTATGGGAATATTATTCTCTTACAAACTTAGAATATTGTAAAGTGCTCAAGGCTCAAATGATCTCTTGATCACTCAAGAATTAGTGTCATTGTCAGTGCAATGTTTATAATTGATGCATGACTTCCCTTTTCGGCATTTCATTTATGGATTAGTTTTAGTGAAGTAAGGACATTCTTCTAATTTGGAAAATATTAAAAAAAAAATGCGTTATAGACATTAGGTGACACAACAGTACAAAGAAAAGGCAGAAAATTGTATATGTCTCTTGATTGTGAGTATGAATGTATATCATTAATATTTTAGTGAGGAATTATCCTTTTTTATTTACAGTTTAAATAAATTACTATATATGAGTTACAACTAATTTTATTTTTATAGCCAATATTTTGGTCTGGCTTTTTAAATCAAATACTATTTCATTATGTCAGGGGAATGTTCAAATAAAATGCCTTTAAAAGTTTTAAATATATTCAAAACTTAAATTAAGTTCCAATTTTTTTTTTATTTTAACGGAACATTGGAAATAACTATTATTCCCAACCGCTAGTCCAGTTATTAGAGTTTTGGAAAGCTAAAGATTGAGTTTGTTTTTGATTTTAAAACTTTTTTTGCATTCGCTTTGCTTTGATATTGTTTAATTTTTTAGTAATTTGAAGTTATTAATATTTTCATAATAAACATTAAAGGTACCAGTTTTACTGCACCAGTAGACCTCATCTTATTTTGATTTCTTGGTTTCACAATTCAACTTTTAGCCAGTTTAAATCACTGTGTGATAAATCCTTTCAATCTGATAAATGTGCTTCGGGACAGTTGTAACTCATTTATAGAAACTCTTTGTTTTGAACTATACCCAAATAATAGGATAATCCCTTACTAAGAACATGATTTACATTCATTCTTTACAATTAAGAGACATCAAATTCTACAATTTCATTGGCCGAGAGCACTTTGCTATATTCTAAATAATATCAAAGTATGATACAAAAAAAACCCCAAAAGTATCCAAACTAACATACTAGCTACCATATATACATCATGGAAATGAGTTAATGAAATTTTGCATTTTGTTTCTTTTTTCTTTTATAAGATTTTTAAATTATCGATGCAAGGACAAGTTATTATCAAATATAGGCTTGTAATGACTCTCTGGCCTGATATCTTAAAAATCCTGGGTGAGAGGTGAAATTCCCGGGTGTTACCCGCAGGATACGGGTCAGTTGACAGGTATGACCCATCTGGAATGCAACTCTGAATCAATGCAATTACGGCAACAGTTTAGTTGAAAATACCAAACAATACTGCACTAATCGTAGGGGGTTCAAAAGAGAGACAATAACACCTGGTTAGAGGAAGAGTTAAACTTATCTTAAAAATGATTGGAAATGATTTTGTGCGTACTTTCCACCGAATTTTTTTTTCCTTTCATGAAATTTCTGTATTTAAAAAAAATTGTAAGTAAAAAAGAATTGAGGAAGAAATATTTTTTTACTTAAAGTTATGTCAAGAACAGCATTTTGTTTTCTTTCATTGAAATGGTTCCTCTCCGAGGTAAAGTAAATTTTATAGAAAAATCAACCAGGTGATCATATGAGCAAAATTTTGCAGGACAGCACAGCGCCGCAATGTGATTGGATAGCGCTGCGGTCTGTCTAATAGAACAGTTGAGTTATATTAAGATGGCGGGCAGATAGGAGTCGTGAGAAAACTCAGGTGTACACAATGGTGATTACTGTTGATTTTGGACAAGTAAAGGATAAATCAATTATGGGAAACAGTAGTGATTAGATTTAATATAATGAAACTAGTAAGTTTATGTGGTGATTTCAATGGAAACCAGTAAAAAAAGGAATCGAAGTGACACAAGTATCCCGTCCCCAGCTACGAGACCTACAAAAATGGCGGCAACCGCAAATGCAATGACAACACAACTCACAACTCCTCAAAATGACTTTACGATTTGTGGAGCATATAGTCTGCTCATCAGGCATTATATGGTCAAGGCATTCATGATTCTCCATATAGTCCGTCTACAGTACCTATTTAAATGCAGGATGAGACACCAGCTAATGTACAGACACCTTTTCAACCGGCACTCCTCCCACAACAACTATCATTCTCGCAGTCTCCACCTATGCCATTCTATGAACGTCTAGACAGATTCATGGTTGAAGTCAACGAAAAACTGTCCAAATTAAACATTCTAGATGACTTATGTAACCGAATGTTGAGTATTGAAAGTCACTGTAAGTCACTTGACATATTAAGAGTCAATTTACATCTATTAACTCAAGTATGGAAAATTACGGGAAACAGACAAATGAATTTCGAGATAGACTTGCTCATGTCGAATATGAAAACCAGCAAATAAGTCAGGAGAACAATGCATTGAGGGAGAATCTCAAACAAGATCAATGAGGGACAATTTAATTTTCAAAGGCATAGCTGACGTTGAAAATTATAACGAACTAGAGAACACTGAAGCTAAAGTCAAAGAGTTCATGAGTGAAGTGCTACAAATTAAGGATAACATCAACTTCCATGTAGTCCATAGGCTTAAGCCAAAAACAGATGGTACTCCCAGAATTATAGTTGCCAAATTCGAGAGGCGCAAGGACAGGGACAGAGTACTTGCAATCGCCAGAGACAAATTACGGGAAAATCCTAGATATTCTGTCTATGAGCAATTTCCCTTCGAAGTAGCCGACAGACGAAGACAACTGATACCAATTCTGAAAGACGCAAGAAGTAAGAACCACCATGCTGTCTTACGGGACGATAAACTTTACATCGACCATAAGCGGTACTACCCCCTTCCCCATAGATCGGAAAACCGTGATGGGACAAGAAGTTAGGGGTACAGTACAGGAGGACAACCGTGCAATGTGAATGACTTGAAATGTTGCTTATTAAACATTTGTGGTATAAAATCTAAGTTGTTATGTCCAGAGTTTGTTGATCTTATAAACAAAAATGATATTCTTTTATTTGTAGAAACTAAACTAACTGAATTTGATATTCTTGATCTGCCTTGTAATTATGTTTGTAAAACTAAAAACAGAAAAATATTCCAAAAAGCATCAGGTGGTATAGCAATTGTTTACAAAAAGATATTTGAGAAGTATATTACATTTCATGAAACTGATTGTCAATTTGTTTATTGGATGCAGATTTCAAAATTGCTTTTTAATCTAAAGACAGATATTTTATTGGGTTGCATATACATACCACCTGAAAATACTAAGTACTCAAATGTTGAAGCGTTTGACGAAATTGAAAATGAACTGATGTTATTTTTGAAAAAAGAAAAACTAGAATATGGTTTGATTGGTGATTTTAATTCCAAAACTAGTGTGTTACCTGATTACATTATTCCAGATGACAATATTATAGATATTTTGAATCTTGATGAAGATAATGAAATTTTGGAATATTTATTTGATTATCAAAATCTACTGAGAAATAATATTCCATTGCATCGAGTGAGTGAATGTTCTTGTAAACCAAACAATTATGGTCACAGACTCTTGAATCTATGCAAAAAATTAAATATCTATATTGTTAACTCGAGGGTCGGTGATGATAAAGGTGTAGGAGCAAGAACATGTAAAGATATCAGTGTTGTTGACTATTTAATTTTATCTTCTCAGTTATTTCCCTTGTTGAAAAAATTTGCTATAGCTGAATTTGAACCGTTATTTTCTGATTGCCACAGTGCGCTTTGTTTTGAATTTCAAGCTTCACTGCTCACACATACTCGAGGCAAATTAGACGATTTAAATGATACCAATCAAAGATTTGTTAAATGGAATTCAAATCGTAGTTCAGAATTTGTAAATTGTATTCATACAGATAGTGAGGCTGATGTATTAAATAGTATAGAAAATCTTTCATCATGTGATGAAGTACGTCAGAGTGATATTGATGTTATTGTTAAAAAAATAGTCCAAAATTTTCATGATGCAGCTATAGAAACTTTCAGCAAAGTTAAAAAGAGAAAAAAGTTTAAAAAACACGATGATTCTAAACCCTGGTTTAATAATTTATGTGCAATAAACAGAAAGGGTTTTCATAAAGCACGCAAGAGGTATGGTTTTGTAAAGAATGCCGAAAATAGAAGATTGATGATTGAATCTAGCAAAAAATATAAAAGCACATCAAATATTGCTTACAAGAAATATCAGCAAAAGATTGCAGACGATCTTCGGAACATTTCTAAAAGTGATAGCAAATCTTTTTGGAAGATTTTAAATAATTTTCGCAATTCAAAAACAGATAATATAAATGATATTTCTATTGAATCTTTGTATGAACATTTTAGGGAGTTAAACGAAAACGCTGAGGCAGATGAAAATCCTTGAGATTTTGTTTTTGATGATGATATTATACCAGAAAACATTAATTTTATCCTTAATGGTATTATAAGCGAAGAAGAA